ACAATGGAATCAGTCTGTTAAGGTTTTTGTTCAAACCAAATATATGAAAGCACCATTTTATTATGCTTCACAACAAGAACCATCCCAGGCATTTTGCTCAGCAGTAAAGGACCTGTTGGTGCCGCCTGATAGCTGGCTGAACGTGAGCCAGCAGTGTGCCCAGGCAGCCAAGAAGGCCAATGGAAAGCCTGTCAGATTCATAAGAAAATTACTCTAGTTAGGATGAGAAAACCCAAGATTTTGGGCAGATATATCCCCTAGACACTTCGAAAAGTTCCTGCAGTTCAGAACAGGGTTGTCTGACATGCTCAGGCTCTCTACCCTCCTTCTTATTCCAGTTATTTTTCTCCAAATCACATTTTCTCCAAATTCTTTTCCCCCATTTGCTGACACCTTTATTTGGCCTTGAAAAGTTTGATAGGTAACAGACCTCTTACACAACCACGTACTTCCCTTCTTTCTCTTCCTTTCATTCCCAGACTTCAATATCCCATCACAAATTTGTTGTGCTGTCAAGGACTTTCTGGTCTCACTCTCCTTCCCTTCAGGGCAAGTCTCCAAGCATCACCCAACACTCTTTTACACTGTTTCCACACCTAACTAGCTTCTGGGTTTTCTCCTCTGGAAGGTAGATAAGCAATGTTACAGTAATGAGTAGATTCATATAGACTAAGCCATTCATGATATGGCTGTTTGATACAGAATGATGTCCCCAGTTGTCACAGAAACATTTCTTCCCCATAATATTTAAAAAAAAAAAAATATCCAGAACCAATTAAGTACAGTCACCCCTGAAAAGGAGAATGCATGGAATACAGAATCCTGGCATCTGAATGTGAAACTCTTTGGCAAAACTTGTAATTGCTTCAAGAAATAAATATGAAAACTGTACCACAAAACACTAGATGTATTATTATTAGTATCTTTAATAACAGTAGAAAAATTAGGGTGCCATATTGTTTACAACACAAAATTAAAATTTTAATTTCAATCAGTCCTGTTTATCCAGCAACACTCTGATTAGCAGTCAGAGTTGATCGAACAGTGGAGGGAAGAAAATCCTCCCACAACAAAATATGCCACATAAAAGACTTCAGCACGAGTCAACAAGCAGCAACAGCAGAGTTACACAGCCAGCTAAAGAATGTACTCAAGACTCTGGCAAACCAAGACACAACTTATGCCACTGAAGAAGTGATTTGAATATATTTTGTTTCCTCTCCTTTGGTGCAGGGAGCCTTTCTGAATATTTGCATGGCAGAATTGAAGAACACATTAGCTTGAAACAATGGAGGAAGAGGGAGGTAGAGAATGGAGTAAGAAATCCCAGGAAACTGTAGGCAATTGCTTCTTTATTATGCATATTTTGCTGCTGGAGCACATTATTCTCATTCTCCTCAGGGCAGGGTTTGTTAAGAGCACAATAAATAATGTCAACAACTAAAAATGCAGCACATCGAGTTTGATTTTTTTTCTTTTGCCTCATATTTGGCAGGGGGGGCTGCCCTGGCAGAGACTAGATTTTCCAGCACAAATCTTGAAGTATACAAGATAGAAGTAGCAGTTTCCCATTCCAACCCCTACTTAATTCCTTCTAAAAGCAAAAAAATAAATCAGGTAGAGGAACAAAACAAATGACTGTAATTCATGTACCCTGTCACGTACATCTCTGTTTTAAGTGCTGCCCTTCTGCTGCACAGCTCACAGAAAGATGGTGCCCTTCTAGTTCGTTTTTCGGAGTGACAGGCAGCAGCCCTCCCGCCACAATTATCTGGTGGTGCCTTCCAGGCATGAAACTGCCCAAGATACCTTCCTCCTGGGATACCTCCTCAGCAGGGAGGGGGTTCAAAGCTCAGCTGCATCAGTGCCTTTGAAGCATTCAGACGACATAAATCCACTGCTCCTGAAGATGAGCAATGTTAGGATGCGAGCTGCTGCGATTAAGCTCTTATTCCAGAAAAAAAAAATAAAAAATGAAATGCTGCACTCTTCCATAGCTTGATTAACCACACGCTTCATTAAAGCTTTCACTGCTGTTTAACTGAGCTGTAATTGCCAGGAAGACAGTGGGTTTTTTGAATGAAGCTGAGACAGGTCATGATTCTTTTTCCCCCCCTCTCTCCTTCCCTCCCCCCTTCATTTCCTTCAAGCCAAAGAAAGTAAACAGGTGAGTTAAGCGTAAAAGGAAGGGAATGTGGATTTACAGGTTTCATATAAGGTTCCTTAGACAGACAGCTCAGTTCAGTGCTTTTGCACTGTGCCTTTCACTAGCTCCCAAGGCTAAGAACACAGGACAGATGCAGACTAAGCACTTGAAACAAGTTTTACCCCTCTGTTCTCAAATCAGAGAGTTGTACGTTAGATAAACGTGGATTTTAAAGGGAAGGGAGAGAAATCTGCTAAAAGAGGCTTTAGTGGTGCAAAACCCTTTGAGCCCTCACCACTGAGGAGAGAAAGAGTTGGTATCTCATACTTTCAGCCCTCTATTATATAAATCCTTTTCTTGCCTACAACTGAGAAGAAACATCTGCAAATAAGGGGCCTTTCAGCTGTGGTCACTCCTGCACTTTATCCTTAAGTGCTCCCAGTGTAGCAGCAAACCAAACCAACCTTGCTGGATTACTAAAGCTCTGCTTTCTGTTCCTTTATGAGTCTCATGCTGCTTCACAGCAACTCCCCACAGCCCCAGCTGCACCTCATAAACTTATCCCAGGCCCTGGGGTGAGAACAAACCTTAGCCCCCTGCAATTGGTGCTTCAGGGTGATCAGGTGAGGCCTCTCTGCTTTGTCCCACCTCACTTGCATAAAGACTCCCATGCACCCAGATTTAGAAAGAGAAGTCAAGGGTGGCAAGTCAGAATTTTTGGTTATTTTGGTCATTCTCAGCAACTTTAAATCCTTGTAAGATTCATTTTGTTAGCTGATGAACTACTACAGCTTCTGCAGTTGGAGCTTTCAGGCTAAGGGATGCACTAGAAGAGCTTCCATTGCCAAGGTTATCATAGGCTATTCTGGAAATCAGAACAATCATACTGGTCACAGCAAACCTTTTGTTATCTTTGTGAAACTATTCCTAATATACAATGCAATAAAATACTCAGTCTGTGATCAAAGCTTCAAAGATGGAGATTACATTTTTACCAGGTATGCCAGCCTGTGAAACCATCCTTTCTTAAATTAATGTAAGACTGCCAGTTCCTTGGGTTCTCTGACAGGGGAATGGAATAATATTATAAGGAAAATCTAGATGATGGCAGGATTTAGATTTAACTGTTAAGACAGACTTATAATTGAACTGGATAGGATCTCACCATTTTATTAGATGTGATTTCTTCCTCCAATTAATGCTCCTGAGGCAACTACAGAAGTGCTTCCCAGAGTCTCCTTTAAGGTTTCTGTACCAGGCTTTTCAAGTACTCCCTAATGAAGCCCTAGCTTGCAGCCACCTCCCCCTTCCCAAGCAGCCTGGAGGCGAGGTTTACGATGGGGGCGGTGCTGGTGGCCACAAAAGGGCCTGTGAAGTTTCACTTCAGTGAACCATCAGGCTCAAAGAGCCAATGGGTCAAAGTCCTGCTAAATTAATGGCTGGGGGAATGAGTTGATGGAAACATGATGGAACAGAACAACCACCCGCTGGCTGGGTGCACAGTGGATGGAAGGCACCTTGATAGAAGAGGTTCTACATGGACCCTTCTGTCCACTGGATGGATTGTGTTGAAGTGCTCTTGCCGCTGAGGAGGCGTGTCAGTGAACACCACCTATGGGAATGGATGACCAGAAAGTCTGCAGAATCTCTGATCTTGCAGACACTCACCTGGACAAGGCCTGAGCAACTGGATCTGACTTCTAAGTCAACGGTGCTTTCAGCCAGGGGTAAGACTAAATACCCTCTAGAGATCCAGTCCAAATGGTTTTATTAATTTTGAACTTCAGGAGCAGAAACATGGTTTATTATATTTACCTATTTTCTTTGTTTCCTCCAGTAATTATTCTTTATTTGGAAATCCAAGTACTATCCTCAACTATTAAAACAAAACCAAGAAACAGCGAGAAGCATACAGTGCTTTAGACATGTACAAACTAAGGATCAAAACCTCAACATTTGTTTTAAAACATTAACCTCAAACTAAGCATGTGCTGTCTCGAGAGTTGTGTACATGCTTTCCCTTTCCATAAAAGTGCCCTGGAAATCAGAGTCCACTTACTAGCCTGAGTCAAATGGCAATTCCTCTAATATCTTGTATATGTACCTCTACCAGATCAAAAACTGATCAGGAGGAATTTAAAATCCAATCTTCTTCTCCAGTACTGCCTTTTTTTACACAAACAGGACAATACTTAGGAAACAAAACAAAAAAAAAGCAATCATTAAAAAAAAGTGCTTTCCTAAAAACACCTGGACGCCGCTTCAAAAAACTCCTGAGTTTTCATGCACATTATATATTCACAGTATGCAAGCCCAGACATAAAAATACTTTTAGTAACTAGAATCACAATGCATGTATCTTTGAAGTCTGATCTTAGATCAGCAATTATCTATGAAGGAAACAGCAATTTTTCTGCCAAAACCAAAAATTCTGCTTCTCTCCCCTCTGTCCCAATGTCAGACATGTATAACTCAAAATGTTTCTACTTACTAATTCAGGCCAAAGAAAAAGATGTGCATAAGCTGGTTTAGTGACATTTTATTAAAGTAATTTTTCAGGCTTCACCCTCCCCCTACACATATGTGCAAATTTCTCCTGGCACTAAGCCACAGACCAATTTTGAGGTGGAAAACAGTTGTAGGAAAAAGAGAGAAACTCAAATTATTTTATAAATGGACACATCTTATAATACATTACAGTGGTCCCTTTAGTAGTCAAATGGTTCTTGAACATTATACTTTATGTAATATCATAAATGCACAAAATATGCTTTCCATATGATTGCAAAAACAGCAGCGCTCTGGAGCCAAGCGCATGACTTAATATTATAATAATGAGTCTACTTCAATGTAGTGGATTTTAATAAGACTTTAATAATACTGGTATGAAGCCAAATTACATAATGTCCCAAAATATGAAACAAGGCTTTTATAGAGAAAATAGAAGCTCATTGAAACATAACCACATAAAAAACCTAAAACCAACAACAAAACAAACAACCACCAATGTTATCTAAACAAAACCATTAGGCATATTTAATTTTTAAAACTCAAATTAGAGAAAAGGAACTCAAATCTATTCCCAGATCTCAAGATAAAATTAAAAAGGGTATTATTTTAGGCAACACTTATGAAAATGGAGGCACTATGTCAGCACTGGGAAACAAGCTAACACCATAATTACCTCTTTTGGCACAGATCTGGATATGGATTGACTATCTCCAATTTCTCTCAAAGGACAAAATATGATTCAGTTACCTTACAGGTTGAGTTAAGACTGAGCTTTGCTGGATTATCTAGAAACCATTTAGACGAATAAAATTATTTCCTTCTATGCATGAAAACAAGCTCCAAGTAAAAGTCCCAAAGGTAAAGAGTCAAATTATTTACTCCCTCATCTCCTCCAGTTCTGGAGTCCTGGCGAAAACAAGCACTTGAAAGCACCTGTAAAGCTCCATCAGGCATAGACAAATCTCAGAACAGCTTCCTCTGTCACCCCTCCCCAAGTATAGCAGTGTTAGACAGCAATTAAAAGAAAAATAACTATTTCATTTGTTGGATAACACATGCAGAATGCCACACATTCTTAAAGCTGTAAAACCTTTTAAATATTAGTGTTAAGCTAGTTGGGAGATTAACATTTGCATGGATAACATTTTTTGTCCCTTATTAGGATCAAGTGTTTAGATCCACATATCCAACAGAGAGATCAACATATATTAGCATATTCCAATTTACTGCTGGTGCGTACTACTGTTAAACTGAGCCTAAATCAATGCTGACAGCCCATCAGAGCATGTGGTGATGAATACGAGAAGAATCAGAGCAGTTTTCTTCAAATATATTGTCTCATCAACGAGTCTCCACTTTTTAAACTGTTTTGATAGAGGCATGAAAATTTTTTGAGTAGATTTAGATTCCACATGACAAGATGAAGTGAGTGGGACATTTTACACCTTGGATTTCTTATAAGTCTGTTTTAGCTACAGAAGCCATTAAAAAGTTGCAAGTAACTTCAAGATGAAAGGCATTAGCAGCTTTTTAGAAAAGGATAATCATACTCTTCTAAAGATTTAATGAGACATAATTCACAGAAGCTTTTGACTTGGTCTACTGTTAATTGAATCAAAGTCGATGATGATCTTGTTACGCTTTGGCTTGAATTCCCTTAAAAAAAGAAAAATACAGATATTAGTTAGTGAGTAGTTAAAACACTTTGCTTACTTTAGTTCCAGCTAAATTTTTGAAGGAATAAAAAAAAAACCACCGAAACACACATCCTTGGACTCACATAGTTTTCTTCTCTATGGGAGCCAATTATAGTACACCATACTGAGAGAAACCTGGACAAGAAAGACTAAGACAAAAAGACACAAGGGGTGGGTTAGCCTGTACATTCTTCAGCTATTGGAGTTTATAAATTACCCAGGAGTCAAAGGACTTTTAACAGCTTAGCTGCAGGTGGTGATATCATGTTACTATGGCTGGGATTTTTGTTCATATATATTAATATTTCAAACACTTTTAATATATATTTACAGGTGTAAGTACACATATAGGTATACAGAAAAATATTTAATATACCGTATGCACATATATAAAAGATATTTGGAATATATTTTGATAATATTGATATTTTGATTAATTTTTTCCTGCCAAGTTTTCAAAAACACTTTCAAAGTTTGTGTCAGTATATTAAAATATTTTTTGTGCTAGGGGAATAGATCACATTATGCATCATACTGGGTACAAACCAAACTAGTTAAGAGGGAATCATTTAAAAATTTTAACTTCAGAACTGTAAAATTAATACAGCCACAAAATGTTTCCTTTTATTATCATTAGAGCATCTGCTACAGCAATTAGCAAGGAAGGTGTTTGGGGACCCAGAATATATTTTCCAATCTATCAGTAAACAAAAGATTATGCAAATAGTGTGGATTTAGAGCCTAATTAAGCTCTGCAGTTCAGTTCAAGAGATTCATTAAGTACCACCTACATCCTTAGCAATCAATACAAGGATAAGTAACAGTCAACACAGAAAAGCACATGCTGCTGACCACAGAAACTCCTGAATGCTTTGTCCAGAATAGCAATATGAAATGCAAAAAAACATTTCTCACCCTGGAGAAGTTATAAGATTTGACTTGCAAGAGAATGATTTATGCTTCTTAGTCAAATAGTCTTAGTAGACAGGAAATACACTGAAGGACTAAAACTGAATTTCAAGTACTGCTGTGTTTTTCCATGGATGTTTCTTAGCCCAGTAGGTATCTTTCATCCTAAAATTTTATCTGTCAGAACTCTTATGTTTGCAAATTTTTCAAAGTCTTCATATTAATACTGTGAAACTTTTTAGAGTTGCAAAGCCTCCCTGACTGCATAATTAGCCTCACCCACAGCATGTTACTCCTATCAAACTCACTGTTGAACAGATTGTCTTTAGGTATCTCTGTCAGTGTCTTAAAAAACCCCACTCTTCAAACATTCTTCAGATTCTCATTACTTTAAGGCAAATATTTCAGGTTTTATGCTTTTCTTACAAAAAAAGATGACCAAAGAACATGGACAGCTATAGGCACCATGAAATAATTTTGGCTGGCTAGTTTTGACACCTGCCCAAATCCGCTGCAATAAAAAGATACTAAAGTTTCAATAAGGATTAGGTCATTCAAACACATGCACAAAAAAAAAAAAAATCAGCTGGTCATTTCAGTCCAACTCATAGGATCGTAGGATAATTCAAGTTGTAAGAGACTTGGGAGATCATCTAGTCTAACTTCTGCTCAAAGCAGAGTTACTGATGACTCTCCTGAGTACAATGTAACAACCATCACGTTTGCAATTCCAGTCGCATTCTAGATCAGAACAAGCAATTTTCTCCTACAATTACGAAACTGAAATTTACCCATACAGAAGGCAAAAGAATGGTGCAACAGTCTGTCAATCCAGTACCTTTTACAAAGGAAAGCATCTAAAAACACTACAAAATAATAAAATGCTGCACAATGAAAAGAAGAAAAACTTTTCTCCTAAAGTTGGTCTCTTTCACACAGCACTTTTTCCCCCTTTCCAAAGTAAAAATAAAGTTAATTCAAAGTTCTCTCACCTGTATATAATACCTGCCAAATCAAACATCCGCCGTGCAGCTGTCATTTCTATAGTGTCATGATACTTGTCAGACATAAAAATAACTTCCTTTATGCCTAAACAAGTCATATAGAAAAGATGTTAGAATTACACTGGAAAAAAAATAGTTGTGTCTGGAGCACAAAATCAGGAAAGGCAGCATTCACCCACATGCTCTAGAACTCCTTGGTACACCTCTATTTATAGTTTTATGCTGTCTCAAATTGCTGAATGATCTATGCCTCAATTACTTAGGCAGGGGAGTAATATAAAAGCTTCAAAAAAGAATTCACAAGGTTTCAGAGCCTATCAACATCTTCCTGCGTTTGCCAGACAACATGAATATCAATACATTGTAATTTAGTGTTGATCTAAGTGCATAAGGAAAAGGATGAGTGACTACATTGAGAACAAGGAGCCAATCTACCTTGAATACCATTTGATTTTGATTCTATAAATAAGGGACTTGTAGCACAAATGCAGAATACCATCATCTTTCCCTCTTCACCCCTCTATTTCAAACGCTACTGAACTAAAATAAAGAAGCGTTCTGTTTACTACTTTATTCCTAGATTCCTGTGGCCATCAGTAGTGAAACTCCCCTGAACAGTGATCCACGCTGGGATAGCATGACTTCACTCCATGAGCAAAATATACGCTACTTTAAGCAGAGATTTTTACGGAACTGAAGCCTGCTGCAGATGCTGCCTAATGTGAAAAAAGGAGACACATTTAGGCCAGCACACTTGCTGCAGTGGCACAGATTTATAACAATTGTAATGAAAGACATAATTAAAGTAGGATCATAGAAGTCTTATGACATTTATGAGCAAAGATATTTTAAAATCTTCAAATATCTACCATGCATCACATTCAAATTAAAATTTCATGTATATACTCCCAGCAGACCTTTTCTCATGCAGAAGTTTATTTCTTTCTGCCCCTACTCTATTCATTGTGTCAGAGCACAGTAAAATTGACAGTAATTATATGCAAAGTCTGTGTTGTTCTTTGGCAGCTCCTGGTCTAAGAAGTTACAAACCTAAATTAGAAGTACGATTAGAATCACAGAAGATGCAATTAGCACTGGAAGAATTTGGCACCATTCAGATGCAAAAAACCCCACAAGTAGCATCTTATGAAGTCGACAGTGCAATTAATTTAGATCTAAGATCAGCAATTCAACATCAAATACATCTATGATAAGATACCAATGAGCCGGCAGCACTGCAACCCTGAAAAATCAGGCACTCCTGCTTACCTGCCTGGATGATGAGCTTTGCACATTCATTACATGGAAATAAGGCAACATACATGCTGCAGCCTTTCACATCAGCTGAGTTTTTGTTCATGATGGCATTCAGTTCGGCGTGGCACACTGATTAAACAGGAAAAGAAACTATTCATAATACTGGTCATTAAAATAAATCAGTCAAACTAAAATTAAAGTGTTACAATATAGCTGCTTATACCTTTTCAAAGGCAAATAGCGTGCACAGCTTGTCATAGAGGGCAGAGGAAGAAATAAGAGCAGAAACACCAAGATCAATGAAGGTCAATTGTTCTGACCAGGCTGCCGATTAGTAATGATATCATTAAGTGCATTAGCGTTGCCATTTGCCAACACCTATTGCAGGCAACAAAGCCGCAGGCTGTGGGCCAAGTAGTTGCAACCACCCTAAGTGGAGCAATATCTCACAGCTTCACAACTCTCTGGAGTATCTAATTGCCAGTATAAAACAGCTCATTTATGTGTTTACATGCACAGATAGGAGCAGTCTTATGGCTGTAAGAGTGCGCTGTGCGCTCTTAAAGGCAGGAGAATCGCGAAGTAAAACTGAGCAGCTCTGTCCTCTGGGTCTCAGAACGGCTCAGCGCTGCTGCATGATTCTCTCACCCCCAGAATACACAAGACACACTCAACCATAAAAACGTCCCAGCTTTAATATTAAACTGACTTTACTGCTCATTAAAAGGTGCCAGACTTCCCAAGCACGAAAACAAAGTCCTGTGTTTCTCCATGGATTTGAGATAGGCCAGGTAGCAACAGACCAGCCTGCCTTATTTCACCGTAACACAAACAGCTCTTTCTGGACAGACAGCACCTTAGGGTTTAAGTGTTTATAGGATACACATCAGCAGATTATCTAATGTGTTACTAACACAGGTGAGAAGAGCACAGTTTCTGTGTCATCCACAACGAACCTCTGAAAAAAACCATTACGATCTCCACGAGAACTTCCTGTTTACTCCTAGGAATAAGAGCAAGTTGCATAATTTATATACCTACCTACTAAGAAACTGCCTGCTGCCCTGACTATATAAACAGATGCTGAAGTGTGGTGTGGGTTTGAGCTCATTTAGAGACAACATTAAAAGTTTTTCCACTGCTCGTTTTGAAGAACAGATTTTTTAAAAAGTAGTTTTCCTCTCCCTTGCGTCCATACAAAGATTAAAACAGACACAGTTTCATAGCACAACTTCACAGTAAACTTGATACTGTATGCTGACCTCTGTATGAATGATCTCACCACACAAATAACTGAGTGCAGTACCTTCAACACGCAGGAATCCTTGCTGAATGGAAATGTTTTCCGTATGTGCTGAGTGTCTACCTGGAATTTTCTATGTAACAGCTAATGCACTACAAATTTACAGCCTAACTTACAGCACACAAACTTTCCCATGCAGACGAGTCACAAAGGACCAAACACTTGATAAAGAAAGCTCAGTACTGGCTTCTACCATGCCCGTGATATGCTGTCCACAAAGCTTCTCATAACCAGTAAAGCCAGAAACTAACACAAAAATAGGAAATTAAAAAAAAAAAAAAAAACAGCCCAAAAGCCAAGCACCATCACATTAAGGTTTCTTTTGCTATTATTATTGTTTCTATTGCAGTTGTTATCGGGTCACACTATATTTTAAATATATGCCATTAAGTGTAAGACAGACAGTTATATGAACCTATATATTCAGAAATCCTGGAAAATATGCTGAACTCCATGTATATTACTAAGTTGCAACAATCTTATGTAGCCTTCACAATAAAGAGTCAGAGAATTATTTTTCTGGAGTTGCAGAGTATTGAGTGAAAATGAGTGTCATTATTTCCACAGCTGGAACTAGGTTATGTCAACAGAACAGAAACATCATTTTTAAGTTTCTCTGAACACTATACTTATGTTCTAGGCAGCAGTCTAAAATGTTGAAGGCCCCCAGAAAGGATGTTTTCAAAGGCTCACAGAACTAAAAAACACTAAAACTAATTCCTTCAGTAAATATTTTTCCATCATTAAAACTCAGAAATTTTCAGCCATAAAACTAGACAAGTTTCATTATTAGTACTGCAGCAAGTTTCCTTCCTGCACTGATGAGAGAGAAAGGTTCTTCTGGCAGACTTCTACAAACTTTCAACAACAAACCTCTTCCGAAGCAAAAACAAGATCAGGCCAAAAATAATTTGTGGAAGATAATCAGCTGGAGCAAGGAAAAGGAGAAATCTTGCTTCTTGACCATCTAGCAGAATCTGAAGTTTAAGAACAATCACAACAACAATTACAATGTGGACAGATGACACAGAACCAGCAACAAGAAACAGACTAATCATTCCAGGACAAAAACTAGTCAGGGCTCCAACAGATCCGGCAGGCTTCTGTTTCAAATATAAAAGGAGGAAGGTTTTTCATGCACGCAGTAGCCTAACCAAGTATTTCTTACTGAACTTACTGCAGAAAACAGTATGGGACTAGAACTTTGCACCAATGCCAGAAGTCATCTTTTCCCATTCAGTATTACTTTTTTTCAGTCTACTGGGCAATTAAATACCAAGCCATTTGGCTCAGTTGCTGTGACTTGCAAGAATATTCTGGGGAACTATCATTATATATAACGTGTCTTTGTTTTATATGTTTCCCCAGATTACAGGGGCCTACTCGCCCCCCTAAGGGATATTATGGTAGATGGTCAATTAGAAGGTTTAGGCATCAGAAAAATATTTTTAGGCTTTGTCCCATCACTCTTAATTCCCTCTTACTCCTGTTCACCTCTCTCTGACCAATTGGCATTGATAAGGTGAGATAGTCTATTATCCCCAGATTTTTCTTATAGACCTGCCAAGCTTTGTTAGGAGACAGAAAACAAATCCAGGACTCCAAAAATCTCTCTTGTTAGTGACTAACTAGTTTGCATTTGGGGTGTTACAAAATTTTCTAAACTCTTAAGAGCTCCTGCTAATAGTTACAAATAGCTCTTTCTCAGATAGTAAAAAGATAACTTAAAATAACCTTTCACAGGTACACAGTATTCAGAACTCTGAAATATGTACATTTAAACAGACTAGTAAAACTAAGAATTTTTACAATACCCTATGAGGGGCTCCAGAGTTTTGGGGCTTTGGGTTTTTTTTGGTTTGTTTTTTTTTTTTAATAATATTCACATATAGCCAACATAATAAGTCTGCAACACTGGTTTCCATTCTGGAAAAGTGGCTTGAAAAGTATTCTCAAAAGGCTTCATTAACTGAAGAAATAACCATGCAATGAGAAGTTAAGTGTGTGCTCTGAGATTCCCACCACCTGCTACTATATTCAGGAGAGGGAAAAGGAAAAAAAAAGAAAAAAAAAAAAAAGAAAAAAGCAGATGAATGACTGCTTCATTACTGGTAGTATTAATTGCTAGTGTTTCTATCTCTTCTCATTGCATACTGGTTTGTGTTGCATATACGAGGCAGTACTCATCCTTAAACCCCTACTTAAGAGGGGTTTAAGGATGAGTAATTAGGAGACCCCTACTTGACTTATAAATGTTAATTTTGGGGGATTGAACACTTAACATGAACATGTTCTCAGTGGGTTGCAGAGTCAGAAGCACTCTTTCCACCTACTAAAAGTGTTCTGACTAGAAATTTTATAAGAACCACAGGACTAGTCAAAGTGTTTCTTAATACTGTTTAAAGGGTTACATGCTTGATGAAGAACATGGTAGGGACCACTATAACTTTAAAGAACCTTTAAAGAAGCAGTCAGAGGAAGGGCTAGAGGGAATGACTTTTTAATGTTATTAATTACTGAGCCAGACTAGGAATTTTGAGAAAAAATATGCACTAAATATAGTGTTACATTTGAAAAGAATACATTTCAATTAATATAGATTGTCACACAGCAAGTTTTGACTATTTATTAATGTAAGTCTTTACACTGTCATATCAACCAACTTGGCAAATATTATGGGTTCCCAGTAGAGACACATGCCAATAGCACAGCATCCTTCAACATAAACCTGGCATAGGAACGGATACAGGGAGTTCTGTAATTTGGCCCACTTCTATGCAGTCTCTTGGTAAAATCTTCACCTTTTCATGTTCATCCCTCGTCCACTCCATCTTTGTGCAAGCTCCACCTACCAGTTATCCTTCACTTGCTGGGTCTCTGACACTGAATACAGCAAAAATCATGAGAGGCATTAAAATATTAATTAAAAGAATGGAATCTGGAATGACAACCACTGGCAACAATGGTTGATGAATCTGGAACTTGTAGAACAACATTATTTCTTTTTCAACCTTTGTGGAAGTGTAGGGATGGTTGCTGGTCACTGCGTTAAGGGCAGGCAGGACACTGATGCTGGGCTGACACTGCCCTCGGCCCTTCCTGCTGGTCTCTTTCTTGCTGTGCGTTGGGTAAGAGCAGTAGCTGTAGCCAGGGCACAGAGGCAAGGATAGGACCACCAGATTCTATTGGAGTCCTAGCCTCTTCAGACTGCACTAAGATAAAAGGAACAGCCCCAGCCTCACTGCTTTCTTCCATGAATAAGGAGAACTGGGAAGTGAAGACGGGAACTGCTCAGCCCATTTGTGAACATCACAAATCCATGCAGGACAAGAGTGAGTAAGTGGAGACTGTCTTCTGTAGATCGCCTTTCCAGATGAAGTCTCAGCTCTGCACTGCCAACTGGAGAGAGAGAGCATCACACCTCTTCAGAGTGCCTTATCAAATTTTGTGCTGTCAAAATAACAGCTTCTATAAAACTAACATTTGCCTGAATATTGAGTGTTCATTCCTCTGAAAAATTGACAAAAAGCTCATAATCCTAACATGAGGAAATGTTGATAACAGTTTGTTTCATTTTACACAGCAGGTACTGTTCAATTAGAGCATACTTTTTGTCACAGCACATATTTTACCATATCTGAACCTGTATAAATATTTGTAAGCATATTTACTCAGTATTTTCTGTATTGCTCAGAGGCTTCTAAATTTGCCAGTCAATTTAAAACTCTTAATTAGAGACTGGTTGTCAAATGGATGTTCTTAGATTACAGTGGAGACAGAGGGCATAACAAGAGCACAGCAACTAACATTAGTGGGAATATTTGCGTTAATAGGAGAAAAATGTAGTATTTTAAATGATTGGTGAGAGGAAACTGAGCATCATCAAATCCTTGGATTCATCTAACAGAAACAGAGGGCACACTTTTGACTCTAAAAGCCAGAATTCTGCCTAATTATTAAGAAGCTTCTGCTCACAATACTGAACACAATGCATCAGGAAGAGCTTTTAACAACATCTTAGTAAAGCAGGTATTCAAAACTGGCCTTCCATTTCTCTCATGTGCACAGACACATCCCTGCTGCTGTCACTGACTGGCAGCCTGGAAACAGCCAGTTCCAACATAACAAGAAAATCCTGATTTTGTGCTGTGAAAAATGGCATTCTGCAAAAATGCCCTGTGCTTTCTGACATAACAAGGCTATACTGCTAACTGTTCAAATATACACTACAATTAGAAGGAAAGTTTTAATCCGCTTCAAGGCTCTCATAAGGAATGCATAGTATCAATAGAGGTGATCTACAGTCACTATTCCTGTAATATCCAAATGCCTTGCCAACATTTGCATCCTCTTAAGGTAAAGTGAGCACTACCTACCACATTTTAATGCCTTCTTTCGGTAGAAGCTCAGGTTACACCCAGATTTCTTAATCAAGCACAACCCTGTCCCTAACAGTGAGCTGAGCAGAACCCACACTTGAGGGGGTGGGATAGGTATGTACAGTGTATTGCAGCAGACAGAGATAGCCCAGACACTGGCGAATTTCAAACCAACAAGTTTAAATAAACAGCCAAATTCAAGAGCGACAGGACTGATTTAACCTTACAACAGAAGTTCAAAAGGTAACAGTTGTCAGTAAATGTGGAGGAAAGGAGGAAGGGTTAATCACAGCGAGTAAGAAAAGCTAGAAGAACAATCCCGGCAAAACCAAGAACTTATAAACTACCCACAGATAAATTTAGGGTGGAAATTGGAAGTTTTCTAGCCATGAAAGAGTGAATCTGATCAGAGATGTGGGGTCAATGCATCCATCAGTTCTGCTGGAGCTCAATAAATTTATTATAGGATCATCTAACACACCTCTGCACAGATAGCCTCTGGGTCCAATCCCCTACTATGTCTCTGCTGCTAAACAGACAGGGCCAGAGACTGACCCTTGGCCCTGAGGCCAACTGGCACAGACTGGCTCGTGTTCGTGTCACCCAGGGCTCCATCAGCATTACACGGCACTTGGCCCTGGGTCTCCTCAAGGCTCCACGTCTCAAGAGTCCCACGACACCACAGACTTATTTTGTATGTCTCGGTTCAAAGTGCATAAAGAAGTGAGATAACTTTTTTGCAGCCCACCAGAGAGGTATTTTCAGAGCACGAAACAGAGTATGAGTTGCATATCCCCCAGTATGGCCTGAGGGAAGGAGGAGGGTTAAGCATACCATCTCAGCAAGCTTTGCATTATAGGCCTATAAAGGAAGACTGTTTTCTTGCAGCCTTTCTTCCACCTTGCCTTTGGGAGCACCACTGGAAGAGCAATATTCAGGCTTTGTTCTAGGAAGAGCTAGGCAGAATGGTCCAAAACAGATGGGAAGTGAGCTAATGTCTATGCCTCACCTACAACACTCACAGAAGACCAGGAGGTCAGCATTCAGATCCTCCCCCAGCCCTTTTCTGTAGCACTGCAGATAACATGAAGTAGCTCTAGAAAACACCTTCCAACTTAGTGTGGTGGTACATGCACATTTACCATCACCTTCATCTAATAAGCTTCACTGCAGCTCTAGGGATGAAAGTGCCACCATTCCCACAGTTAGCTCATGGAGCACACAGGAAGGCTGTACCATCCCTGAACAAGCCAGTCAGGAAAATGCAAGAATAAAAAGTTCAATTTACACAAATGATGTGATGATTAGCAAAAGCAGAATGGAAAACATGACAGTTTAATGAGATTTTAGCAGCAATTCTACGTGTCTCAAAATTTTTTAAACAAGAAGATTTTTTTTTTATATATACTTGTCTGGTCTGTCAACCATGCTATCAAGATTAATAAGAAAATGCTAGAGTTTAAATGATCTGTGAATTACAAAATAGGTTGTTTATTCATCACAGCAGACACTTCGTGTTACAAAGTTGTGATTTTTTTTAATGAGGTGAAGATTAGGATTCTGAGGAGAAAAGGCAGTAGTTAGACCAATTTCCAGAAATCAACTTGTCTCTCCAAGCTGTTACTGGTCAGTGAATTTTTTAAACATCACATGCTCCACATCTTTTGGAGGCAGAGTTAACCAAAGAAGTAAAATTCTCAGGTCATCCTGTACAAAGATTTTTCACAGCACTTTTAGTTTAAATTGGTCAGCTTAAAGTGCCTGGAACATGCTCAGGTGCCAGAGACCACCCACACCCATCTTAGTTCAGAACTGAGATCTTACAGCAGCATAAAGGTTCAACCAAAATCAATATTCCGTTTTCAGTGCTTTATATTTAATCAACTGGCTAACACTTGTTTCCTCATCCTATATAAATAAAGAGCAGTCATATCAAGTTGTACCATTATGATCACTGCATTATATGTAAAAAATAGTGGTTTAGAGCAGACTTCAAATTTGGCCCTAGTACTGGGAATACATCTCTTATGAAAAATAATAGGAAATGGTCTAGAGCTTAAGAGTTAACACTGGAGGTTTTATAATAAATTGGTAAAGTGAACAAGGACAAAGTACTGGGGTTTTAGGAACTCAAAAATATCAAACTGATGAATTATGTGCTGAGCCACTGCATATCATCTTCCACTTCAGTGCCATGGGAAACCAGAAAATGTAATGCTGGTTTTTAGAGAGAGCTCTGGGTGAACTCAGGCAATGTCAAAACTCATGCAAGTTTAATTTCTCTATCATCAGACCAATTGTTAAAGTTACAAGTGAGAAACAGAATTAGTAGGCAGGGATAAATACTGTACACTAGAAAAGAGCCAGTGTTTCTTTGCAGAAGGTGAACTCTGGTGCTTATGTCCCCCCACCCATGCAGGGAGAAGGAAAAATTTTTCAAGGCTCTTGCTCTGGTTTTTTATTTTTCCCCCAGCCATTCCTGAGCCCAGGACAGCTGAGCTGCAGCACAGGGTGAAGGAGATCCTATAATGCCTGTTTTTCCTGTGCCCATGTCTTCTGCTGCATCAGCCTCACCCACAGAGATGCAGCAGGAGCTGGAGTGGGTACAGAAAGATGAAGGAGGACTTAAGGAAGCACAGGGACTGTACGGTCTCTTATCAGCCCTAATGAAGGTTTCTTCCCAATATCGGCTGTTGCAGGGCACAAGGCAGCTCAACTCCATTTCCATGCCCAGAAGACAGCAAGCATGGCATGAAGCCTGAGGCAGCCCAGTCTCCTTGGTTCCTGCAAACCACACCAGGCTCAGAGGAGGAACTGTACAGCCCTGCTGACAGGTGCACCGAGATTCAGAGGACCCTTCAAAAGACACTTACAGAAGGCCAAACTATGCATACTGCAAAGACAAAGACAGGATCCTAAGCAGCACTCAACCACATTCACCACAAAACCATCCTTGCTCTTCATTCTGTTTGCCCGTTTAGTACATGTGAATCGAATCAGAGGCTGAAATAACCAACAAAGGTCACCCCACCCATGGACGGGTAGATCCACTGCACACCACATGAGGCAAAAGTGGCATGGAATGCAATGACACACTTCAGGACAAACAAAATTCAGTTCCTTCATAATAGGTATTACCTATGCCGTTGACACCTGACATGGAAATTTCTCATGGCCACTGGGGTTTACAATTTTAATACCTGCATTTTAGACCCAATTATTTGTTTTGCATATACACGCTCTCTGTAATTTCTGTGGAGACGAACTCACAGGAGCAGCAATCCTCTGCATACACTGCAACTGTGTGCTAATGAGCTGCTTTATATTTACAAGCTTTCACTATCCAATCCAAACCAGCTAATATTTATGAACGTATTTCACCAGGAAGTCAGCCTTTCATAAAGACTGATTTTTATCCTGCTGTACCACATGTAGGCACGTTAACAAAATCAAGTGAGTGGAAGCAAAACTGATCAATACTTTACCAGCTGAACTTTCACAGTTACAGATATCACAAGTCTAACCTGTCCACCACAAGAAGCCTTACCATAAGGATATTTTGTGTCTAGTCTATTTGCCGCTGTTCTTGTCCAGGGTAGTACGTCATCACTGCAACCATTAGGCATCCCATTGTAGCCAATTCCAACAATCTTGTTTTCTGAATTTACAATGCAGGCACCAACCTAAATAAAATCAGAATTATATAGTACCAACAGCACGAAAAACAACGTATCAACAGCAAAGATGAGGCGATAATAGTTAGTCCTACAATTTTCATTTAAGTGATAAAAGTTTCACTTAATATATTAAGCCATACCATCTAGTGAGCAAGGCTACAATTGTACCTAATTGGTGTGGCTTTAACATAAATGAGGGCGGAGGCAACCCAGCTACCCCTTTGGTCATGCCATTCCCATCCCAGCCTGCCAGCACTTCCTTGTCTGATTATGAAGTGAATCTAGTTCAGGGAACAGCACTGATCTCACCTTAGTAAACTTGTCAGTTCAACTCCCCAAACTAGTTTTTCCAGCAGCAGCAGGAAAAGAAAAGGTATGAAAGACTGAACAGAAATACAGTATTGTTGGCTTGTGCAGGCCTCACAAGCCTTTGTGGCTTGTTTACACAAACATGCACTAAAAATACCAGACCTTTTAGCTCCCACCTTTCATTGCTTCAATCCAAGTCCATACAGGGACTCTTCTTATGGAATGATAAAGTGTCCAATTTTTATCTTTTCTCCCCATATTATTTACTGAAATGGCAACAGTAGTGATTTTAATTCACACAGCCTGTTTATCAACCAGCTCTTGGTAACTAAAATTTAGCCCCAAATGAAAACCCTTCAGTGAGCCAAGTGCCGTAACATACAGAAGGCAGCGAGTAATTGAACAGATTGTTTTTCTGGGATCTGTTTCCTGAATTTTTTCACACAAAGGAAGACTAACAGGACAACTGGATCCCGCAGAACATCATGTTTCTGATGTATCAATTGCCTCAAATCAATATTGAACAAGATTGAACAGAGGCACATGAAAGATGCAAAAAATGGGGACAGACAGTGAAGCAGAGGGGAAAAAGGGGATCCCAAGGGAGGAACCAAACTAGAAGAAAACTACTGTCAACACAAGAACAAACAAATACTCATACAGGTAAGGAAAAGGAACTTGTAAAATGCTGTGTCTTAAAAAATCACAATTTAAAACTTTCAGCAGTTTTATCCTTCTCTAAAAGTGACTATATTTACTGGAAAAAGGTGAGAAAAAAACGCAAGTGGTATTTTAACTTATAGATGAAAAGATGATTCACAAAACTCCAAGCCGCAAACGTACACACAGAATTATACACAGGGTCAGCCCCAGTAAGATAATTTCTGTAACAAAAGGTGCTGACTACGTTAAAAACGGAATAGCTGTACAATAAAATAACTTTTATTAAGAAATCCCTGGAAGTGCTACATGTGCATCTGATGCAATGTGTATATAGATTAGGTTATGTTATTATTATATGTTGCTTCCTTACCTGAGAGCTTGGATCCTTGCTTCTTTGTGCTGACAAAAAAGCTACTGCCATAAAATATTCAGGCCATTCCAAATAATCTTCTCGTTTTTTGCAGGATGCTTCATTGCTGAAACTATAGTTTATAGAAAAAAACAGCCGTCAGCAAGCAAGACATACCTAGAGCTACTCCAAATTTTATTCTTTTAACGTGCACAAATTTACAGTAACCAGGATTAAAATGTGGCTAAGACCACACATACACTAATATTTTAATAGTAAAACTATCACTGTTACGTGCCTTCCAGGAACTTATATATGCAACATTTCCTTTTGGGAAAAAAGCATCCAAGTGAGGTTACAAGTTTCAGTTTCAGATAAGAAAGTTGAAGTATTCAGAGTCACTGAGCTATTCCAAGACAGAGCAATTTATCCTTTACAGATAACACCTTGCATATTTCTAAGAGTCATGTATGTCATGTACTGGCATTCTTCTCACCCAAACAACATAACCTTTTTTATGATGGCTGTGGTAACTGCAAGCCTCTAATCAAAGTTATTTTGTACTTCTGCCTACAACAAGTGCTTGCTAGATTTCTGTTTGGTAGCTTCCTCTACAGTCATTCATTTCTGACCGTACAGTTATCACCATAAGTTTGCCTCTTGTTACAATATTTACCACCAAAAATCTAAGGCCATTCCAATAGTCCCCTGCTAAGTTTCCCTTGAGATTATGTCCTATGAAAGCCTTCTAACACTGACAGGAGACGGGCTCAACAACTTTGCCTTTAGATATAATGTATACAATCATCACAACAGGTTGATTCTTTCCCTGCACTGAAGGGTTATATTTGGGGGAAGGAGGAAGGAAAAAAAGGTGATGCATCATTTCCTCTTGTGTGCTTGGACTGTGTAAGACACAACAGGGGAACTGCTGTGCTTTTCAGCTCGAAGAGAAGAAAGACAGATATACCTAACCCCATATATATCTAAGCTTTGAAAATTTCAAGGAAAAGATCAAATTCAAAGAAATTTCCCCAAACTCTCGCACCTATTATTGCTACAACTTGAAAACCAAACCAATGGAACATCCCAAGCGTAATGACTAGCCTATGAAAATACAAGGGGCACAGTATGTCTTGGGCTCCTCTTACCCGGGACTACAGTTTAAGGCTGAGACACCTGTCTAGCGAGGTACAGCCATGCAGAAAAATACATCACAGGTGCATCTTGCAAGCAGCAAGACATCTCCTAGCAACACTAGCACCAGCCCTTTCAGAAGACAAATGTTTGAAGGCGAGTGTTTAGTTAATCATTATTTTTATAACCAGAAACCTGTATTAGAGGGTTGCAGTTAGCTTGTCATAAAGAGGTTACACTATTTGAGTGAAGACAATGCCAGCACATGATAAAACCGTACTTTAGAAACCTACAGGGTGCTATTTACCAAAGATAAATTGCTGGTTTTGAATAGTTCATATGTGGCACATTACAAGTTAGCAATTTTGGCTTGTTCTTGGAATGAATGAGGATCATCCTTAAGGCTACTGTCTCATTGCAAGGAGGGAGAAACACACACTCTTGGTGTAACCCAAACACCTCTCTCATAATTTGACAACAGTAACTGTCAACTGTCAAAACAAACACATGAATCAAGTATGTGATTCTGAAAAAGCACAAATTGCCTTGAGTCACTATAACTAAAGGGTTGGGGCTATATCCTAACAAGAAGGAAAAAGCGTTCACAGAGCAAGAAGCTCACAGCAGAAAGGAATGATTAAAGACGTTCCCTCACACCTCTTCATGCCAAACGGAACTTTGACAGGCCAACTGAAACGTCAGGAGAGTTTTTGAGCTAACTGATTATTTAAAATACCTCACAAAACAGATTTAAAAAATCTAAAACACCATTGAACTTTATGGTCAGTTTAATGTGCTCCTAACTACATGACATTCACAGTGACGTCTTTGGAGAGAGATGAAACACAGTGCAGAACTACAGTGAATAAAACATGCTGGGGAAAGGGCTCCAGAAAGACAGTGGTACTCTGAACTAAGAGGTCGTGAGTTCTCCCTTTGTTAAATTATTCCCCAGCAACCCTATTTATCCAAAACACAACAAAAGCTGGTGTTTACTTTTCCAATAAATACATAACTGTATGTAAGTGGAGGTCCCTCAGAGTACCAACTTCACAGGGAGAGAAGCATATCTAAAAAATGAGCAGAAGGTTTACATCAAAGGCAACAGAAAAAAAACCCAAAGCCCTTACTCAATTACTTCTACTTAATATCACCGTGTTTGGCGAGATAATTCCCTCCACTCAGTGCACAGGAATGCAGGAGTGTGAAGTGGGTATAAACCACTTAATTTCTGATTGAGCAGAAGCCAAGGCCTTGGCTAGCAGTCAAGCTCACAGAGGAAAATTAAGTTTATGGATTTGGTGCAGCTGATCATTTTCTTTATGCTCATTTGCAGGTTCTATAATTGCATGAATGAAAGCTACTCTAGAAAATACCACAGCTAGCTGTAAAACAGGCAATTAAGGCCTACCCTTACAATAAGCCATAAGAACTTATGAACAAAAATAATGGGAACTGAAAGCCATGAAAAAACACTCTGTTCAAGAAGAACATGAGGGAAAAAAAACACTTAAATTTTTTAAAATTAGTAGTCTAGAGAAAAGTTTGTATAGAACAGTATTTCAAATGAAAAGAGAGAAAAAAAATCTGTAATTAGAGAACATTGCCTCCCTTTTCACTTCTTTTTCATCCATCTAGGCTTCAAGTAAGCTGTAACACCATCTGAAAAAGGAACAAATGTCATTCAGCTACTTTAAAAAAAAAAAGGCCTACCATAATGAAAAAATTCATTGAGAATCCTAAAACAGAATATATCACCTCAAATCTTTTCATACAACAATTATGATGGTCAGCTATACAACAATATAGTACAACCAGAGAACTGGTGAGTATCAGACTACCCACCCCTTTCTTAAGTTTTTCCTCTGCTTTCTTATCTTTGATGTCATGTTTATTATGTTACAACTGTATTTTACAAGTACTTTTCCCCAGTATCAAGTATACTCCTAAAGACCAACTATCAATACTTCGTCATTCGAATCACAGAAATTGAGGTAAAAAATAAAGTGTGTATTAAAAATAAGAAATAAACATCTTCAGCAATGCTCTTGTTCCCCAAAAGCCAAACAGGCTCTTGATGACTTTCAAGATAACCTTCTTCTTTAAGTCTCATATTTTATGATCCCTATTAGATCAAACGAATGTGGTATTTTCTTCACTTGAGGCTTTTCGCCTTTCCCCTCATTTAGGTACTGAGATATGGTCATTACCTATTCCTTACTAGGAGAGAAGGTTTTGAGAGAGAAAAATCAACCTTTCTTAGAGAAAAACGATACTCAGCGCATTGAACATTAACTATATTAAAAATCTTCTTGGGAGATAACCCACCAAACCTGCAAACATAAACACTGTGTAGAAATACTGAGCCCCAATTGAGCAGTACAAGAAGGTCTCCCTTCACTGAACGTACTTCGCTTTTACCGTCACTTATGACTTTAATTGCATGTTGCTCACGCTGGTCTCCATTTCCGGCAATAATGAACACGAAACACCCTGCCTGCTCTGCTTCCCAGCGATTACAAAGCCCAAGGAAAACAGACGGGGCCTTCGGAGGCTCCAAGAGACGCCTCCCCGCCGGGACGGGTTTCCCCGGGCTCGGCCGCGGCCCGGGAGCGCCCCCAGCTCCGCAGAGCCCTCCTCTCCCTGCCTCTTCTTCCCTCCTAGGACACCACCTTCCCTCCCTCTTCTTCTTCCCTGGCGCGGAGGGCGCCGGCTTCCCTCCCTGCCGCCCTCAGCCGCCGGGACGGCCGCATGGCGCGGCGGGCTACACCGCAGCGGCCCGGACCGGGGTGCAGAAACTTTAGCCGGCAGCAGCAGGAGGAGAGCGCGGTGCCGGTGGAAGGGGAATGACGGACGGGAAGAGCTTGGAAAAGCCTCCCGCGGGCTCCCCCCCAATCCCCCCATGCCTCTTGGCCTCCTCCACCCGCGTACCCGTTCTGGCTCTGGCCGGGCTGAGGTCGGCTCATTCCGCCGCTGCCGTGATCCCTCTCCTTTCGCCGCTTGGCGCCACAGTGGAGGCGGGCGGGGAAAGGGGCGGGCCCGGGGGTGCCCCGGCCCGGCCCCGGCCCCGGTCCCGGCCCCGGTCCCGGCCCCGGTCCCGACGGGAGGGGCCCCGGGGATCCCCGTGGGCGCTTGTTTGGGTGCGCCCGAGGGCTGGTCCTGCAGGCCCGGGGGAGGCCACGGGCACCCTCGGGGCTGCTGCGAGAGCCTCCACCACGTGTAAACGGGTTACTCGAATATCTGTCTGTGGGGTTTTCAGTATTCTGACAGATGCTATTCCTAACGTTATGCTTTGACACAAGCATGAGGGCTTTCGCCATGCTCACGCTCTTGAGGTAAATACTATTCATTAAAGCTTGACATTAACATATTAAGATGTCTAAAAATCGTGGGTTTTTTTTTCTTTTTCTCTGGATATGAAATTGATGTGTAAAGTGAGTTATGGTTTATTAATACCACCAGCTGCTGCCAGGTTTTAGAAGTCTCCCAGGATGCACAGGTAGTTGAACATGTATATTGTCCATTTACAGTGCAAAATAAGCAGTATAATAATAAATATAAAATGTTGGTGTGGTGTGTTTGTCTTCCTTCTGTGAGAGCTCCCTATCCTGGCTGGCTGGCTGCCACAGGGGCCTGCCTTTATGGAAGCGCTCAAATGGGAGCACAGTACACATGTTTGCTCTGTGGGGCTGCAAGGCATCAAGTGAAAACTGCCCAAACCCAGCCGTACGTGACCAATTCAGTTCCCACTGGAGGCGGTGACAGGTGCAGCAAACTCAGTGATGGACAAAAGGAAAACGCTTGCCTTTGAGAGCATCCCCAAGAGGGGTTTGTGCGCACAAGCCGTGGGTTCGCACTGCGTGTGAGCTGCACCATTGATCTCAATGTAGTCAGCAGACATGGCTGAGAGAGTGGTTTCCTGCAGCCTCCTCTTCATCCAGGAAGATGCTTCAGGTTGGTAACAGGACTTTTTTTGGAAGCTGAGCACATAGCAGTCCTATCCTGGAAGCTGTCTTTATAGTTCCCCCTCATTGACCCTATGCACAGCAAATTGCACGAGTGGGTATGCCTTACTACACCAACATGTGTGCAAGAAGACAGCTAAATCAAGGAGCCTGCTATGCTCAGAGTTATTTTTGAAGTTATGCCAAAATAGAGAGGTCCTGTAGTGATCAAAACAGAGGAACACACTGCTAATATGTTTTCATATTTACATTGCTGTATCAGATAGCTATCTTTTTCTTTTTTTGAATCAACTGACAAACCATCAAATATGAAAATGTTACTTAATTTCACAGATATTCCTATTTGTAACAAAAAAACTTGGCAAAAGCAGCCTGTTATATTTCAACTGACAAGTTTTTCAGCCCTCTGAGTGGGAAAACATATAGCTATTTCCATTTGCAAGACTCCTATTATCACAATTTCATATGGACAACACATGTTCATGTACAGTTTGTTAATGAATGAAAAGGAACTGTTTAAATGCAAGAAAAAGAAAACAAATTTAATGAAAGTAGCATCACTCAGGAAAGCATAAGCCTGGACGTAAAATGAAAGACCTGACTATGACTGATCATGTAGAGAGTTATGGAACACTCATTTAATTAATCTGAAGAAAAAATAGCATGATTCAAAAAGTTCTCTACTCTCTGTATATCTGTTTCTGCACTCTTGAAATGTGAATTATAGTAGATAGTGCTGCAATTACGCATGCCAAATTTGTTATTTTTCATAATTACGATTCTGAGGACAGACCATAACACCTACTAATCTTTAAAATTTGGTGCTTTTGTGCTGATCATACATAGTGAATGATTTTCTGTTCTGTGAACACCGGAGTTCTTACAAACCCTCCTCTGAACTTATCACATTTTCCAGCTAATACCTATAAACAAGCCAGAACCAAATTCAAAGTAATACCATTCCCGTTTCTCAAAAAACAAAGATTCTTGCTCCCTTCTCTTTCCCATTCTACAAGAAAAAAATATACACTGCAAAGTAACTGCTTATATTACTAAGCAATGAGGTTTTTAATTTCAGAGTGGAGTTTTCAACTTTCTATAAAATTAGGTAAGAATGATATATTTTTTGAAATCCAAAACTTAGATGTTTTCATCATGCTTAGCAAATAAGCTTCCATAATAATTTGAAAGTACTGCTGGCAGCCGGTCACTAGTGCTGTCCCCCAGGCATCAGAGTTGGGCCCAGTCCTGTGTAATATCATTACTGATGATCTGGATGAGGGCACTGTGAGTGTACCATTAGCAAATTTGCAGATGACACCAAGCTGGGGGAGAGTGTTGATCTGCTGGAAGGCAGGAGGGCTCTGCAGAGGGACCTGGACAAGCTGGAGAGTTGGGCTGATTCCAATGGGATGAAGTTCAACAAGGCCAAGTGCCGGGTCCTGCACTTTGGCCACAACAACCCCCTGCAGCGCTACAGGCTGGGCACAGAGTGGCTGGAGAGCAGCCAGGAGGAAAAGGATCTGGGAGTTTGGATAGACAGGAAGCTGAACATGAGCCAGCAGTATGCCCAGGTGGCCAAAAAGGCCATTGGCATCCTGGCCTGGATCAGGAACAGTGTGGCCAGCAGGACCACGGCAGTGATCCTTCCCCTGTACTCAGCGCTGGTGAGGCCACACCTTGAGTACTGTGTTCAGCTCTGGGCCCCTCAGTTCAGGAAGGACATTGAGGTGCTGGAGCAAGTCTAGAGAAGAGCAACGAGGTTGGTGAAGGGACTTGAACACAAGTCCTTTGAGGAGAGGCTGAGGGAGCTGGGGTTGTTTAGCCTGGAGAGAGGAGGCTCAGGGGTGACCTCATCACTCTCTACAACTCCCTGAGAGGAGGTTGTAGCCAGGTGGGGGTCGGTCTCTTCCCCCAGGCAATCAGCAGTAGGACAAGAGGGCATGGACTTAAGCTGTGCCATGGAAGGTTTAGGTTGGATATTAGGAAGAAATTTTTTACAGAGAGGGTAATCAGGCACTGGAATGGGCTGTCCAGGGAGGTGGTGGATTCACTGTCACTGGAGGTTTTTAAGATGAGACTGGATGTGGCACTGAGTGCCATGGTCTAGTAACCAGGGCAGTGGTGGATTAAAGGATGATCTCTGAGGTCTTCTCCAACCCAGTTGATTCTATGATTATATCTCAATCTGTTAATTCAACTTTTTTTTTTTTTTTAAATTTTTCAAACATTATTGACTCTTCTGTCTTGTTCTTCCTCAAACCCCAAAAACCTGGTTAACAGCATTCAGCATTTCTTATAATATAACATTGATATATGGCCTGAGGAGGAAAACTTTTGGTGGAATTTTAGTAGACTCTTCCTATAGGATTGCTAAGTGACACATCTTCTGGAAACCTTGATACATTTTGATTTGTCCCTGTTTTTTCAAAGAATTGTACTGCAAACTTCTCTTGTGGCCAAGTTGTGACTGTTCTTCTAACAATATGCTACACACCTGACATGACAGCCTCTTTCTTCAAGCACACTTGGCAAGGAGGTTACACCTAGATTAGGTAAGATTTAGGCCAAGATCCAGTGGTCTAAACACAGGGTTGTGCTGATGGTAGGTAGTTTGACTTGCCACAGGTGTGGGGCAGTCATGCTGCCTGGCAGGTTCCCTAAGACTTCTCTGGCAGCTGCCTGCAAAAGCAGCAGCTATTCTGGATCTGCTTTCTGAATCCTCCTCTCCATTAACTCTGCAACCTAGAAGCTTATTTGCACCCTTCATCTGTCTCAGAACCATTCAGACCTCTGTTAAGACAGACATGCACTCAAATAGACTGAATTTCTTTTAATTTTGTATCTAACACTCTCTTGTTCCACAGAAGGAGGATGTGTGTCAAGAAGACTGGGATACCTCAGACAGTCTTTATAAGTTATCTTTTTTGTGTCTCATTTCTTAACATGGTTTCGAGCATGGATTATCATGACCTTGCTGTATAGACATCAATAAACAATCTGAGCTGATTACAAATACTTTAGATGCTCTTATTAATGAAGAGCAATATAAATTTGAAAGACATGCTAAATATATAACCATCTGTCAAGGTGTTTATATTTTTAGCTTCCTACTTGTGAAATGTTCACATCTACCTTTTGTCAATTTTGATAAAAGCAAACTAAGTTGAGTTTTGGGAACCCCCAGGTTTCAGAACCCCTCTTCTCTTTCTTACTGCTTGCCAACAGACTCTTTTAACTTTGCTGGCAAGCAAGATCTCTCCCCAAATGTACCATATGTATAAGTCATGGCTCAGAGAGTAATGTTTGCTATTTGCCAGGATATGGAGCATGCAGTTTGGTAGACCACGCTCAAAACTTAAGGGAAAAGTAAAAAGAAATTGCTAATGAGCTGTTTTCTTTTTCTGTAATAGAATGATTTTTTCAGGAACTAATTACTAGGTTTGGACAGAAATACAGATAAATAAGTATGACAATATGTCTTTATATCTTAACATCTGGTTCTTACCTGTCTTTCAGACAAGTAACTGCTCATTGACAGGATAAATTTCATAGTTAAAGAACATTACTTTTTAGGCAAGTTTCTTCTTCTAAATGTTTTTCCAAATAGGAATTTCTGCCTGAGTTAAACTTTTTCTTCTCTACTTGTTTACAGACAAAAAACACATTAAATACAAATGCAGCTGCTGGTATATGCTACAGTTCTCAATTTCTGTAGTTAATTTAATCAAGAATATGAAGTTGTGGCTTCCTCACTGATCAAAAAACATTTGTTGCAATGTCAGGCTTTGTACTGTGAACAAAATACTATTTTAGAACCTCTGTGGTGGAAGACATAAACAGGGTTAGCTGCAGCATCTTGTTAGTAAACCAGCCCATTAACAGAACTGCAATAAACTGCTAGATTTTCATATTGTAGCATTTTGTACAGGGGCCATAAGCATTTCAGAATCACTACAGGATTTTTAACTTTGTACTACATAATTTTGTATCTACTTATTAATAAAGATGGTAAGAAAGTGTGACTTGTTACCAGGCTTTGATCAAAACCAAATTGGATGTTATCGTGGTAATTTAGGGGCAGATGGAAGGCTGTTAAAAATCTAGTATTTTCAAACTCAGGTACCAAAATTCAGGACATTGTAATTTGTGTTTAGATGCCTACCTTTTTACAGATTTGTAAGCATTGAATGCCAGAAATTCTTGTGCATGATGAGTGTCTCTGACAGAATCAAGCTTAAGATATCTCTATGCTTTTCATGTCCTAATGGAAATCTTTTCTCTATTCTTAAATTTTGATGGCTTGTGTATTATCTTACCTTTCTGTAGCATCTGTTCCTTGAAAACTAGAATCTAGTGCTGAATTTAAG